GGCTGTTTTGTTGACCATGGCTATTATAGGCCAGGGCAGAATCCAGGCCATGGTGGGAATCCAGGAGAGGTGATGCTGTTACTGGTAGTGTTTGGATTTGGAAGTATCTGAAAAGTATAGTGCATGGTATTTGCTTGTGGATTAGGGGAGAGTATGAAAGAAAAAACAAAACAATGGCCTCAGGACCTGGAAGGATGGCAGTATCATTTCTGAGTAAGGATGAGTATAAGAGGAAGTCAAAAATTGTAATTAGGTCCTTTAGATGTGAGGTGTCTTAGACATCCAAGTAGAATGCCAAGTCTAAAAGTGCCAATTAATAATTTAATGAGTTCCTACTGAGGGCTTGTAAAGGCAAGAAAGCAAACATTTTACTGAAAATAGCTGTAATAATGGTAGAGAATTATGCCATGAGGGATAATAAGTAAAACAAAAGAGCTAGAGTGACTTCTGTATAAATCCCGTGCCCTCACTATGCCTTTAGTGGCTGGTATGAGCTTCAGGGTAGGGTCTGGACCTTCAGCTTTGTGGACATCAGCATCAGCTTTTGTAAGCTGTGGATAAACTCCTCTCTTTGAGCCCTAGTGTTTAATGTGTAAGATCAAGTGGTTGAACTTAAGCAGTGTTCTGAAACAACCAGGAAACTTTGACCCAGACCTGTTGAGTCAGAATTGCTGTGCCTGGAGCCTGAGCGTCTGTTTTAGACATTGGCATGTTGTTATTGCTTTTAGTATTATTTCACACGTATTACATTTTTCTTTATTTTTGTGTGTGTGCGCACACGCCATGGTACACTTGTGGAAGGCAGAGAACAACACGTAGCCATTGTTTGTCACCTCCACCATGTGGGTTCTGGAGCTTGAACTCAGGTCCTCCAGCCTGGCAGCTGGTTCCTTTACCTGCTCAGCTGTCTCTCTGGCCCCTGTTAATTGTATGCTTTACAGGCAAGACCAGCTGCAGGCCACAGTCACTTGGAAGCCACCAGACATGATAATTTTGGAGGTCTTCTTCAATTCTTACTTCCTGAGTAATGCCTATGCCTGCCATTGAACTCTGTTTTGCTTGGATTTATTTGGAACTGCTGTTTCTTATCTACTTATCAAGGGCTGAGGCTCCTTAGGCTGTTTATGTTTGTTTGTTTGTTTGTTGTTTTTTAATTGTTTGAACATCAGGTGTCTCATGAAATGAACCATTAGCCAGTCACTCAGAACATCTGTGATTTTGGAGCCCTTGACCGATAAGCAAATCTAGATTATTTCTAGGAGAGTTGTAATATGTGTATGGAAGGGTCTGCTTATCCACCTTAGGAATCAATACTTAATTGTTTATTAGAGGCACATAAATTCGACCAGCTGTTTAGCCTTGCCTTAAAGTTGGTTTAATTTTACATTTTAATCAAAATCTGGTAGCATAGTGGGGAGAGAGCCAGTTCCTATGGCTCATGACTCCTTACTGTTTCAGCTGTATCATTACTAGTCTGGGGACTTGGTTTTGTGTCTGGAAACATGTGGCAACCCACCTCCCCAACTCCCATCACACACATTCTCTTTGATCTACTTTGTGATTTGCTAACTTCCTTTGAATTCCATCTGTGGGAGCAATGTCTCCCTGACCACTGCTCCTGCCGGAGTCCAGGTTGACGGCTCCTGCAGGCCTTGGGAGCAGTGGTATGCTCTTGAATTTGCTTGGTCACTCTGTCTTTTCTTTGTCTTCCAGGTATAGGAGTTCCTCTGATTTGCCCCTACCTCAACATTCTCCCCCCGACCCCTCAAGACAGGGTTTCTCTGCGTAATCCTGGCCGAACTCACTATATAGACCAGGCTGGCCTCAAATTCAAGATCTGCCCGCCTCTGCCTCCTGAGTGTTAGGATTAAAGATGTGCACCACCACCTGGCTAAAAATTCTCAACCATTATAAGCAGTCATTGAGTATATATGGTGTCAGTATGTAAACTGGTGTTGGGGGGGGGGTCAGAATCAAGAGTTCATCAACAAGTAGTAAGAAACATTTCTTTTCTTTCTTCTTTCTTCCTTCCTTTCTCCCTTCCTTCCTGCCTGGTCTCAAAATCATGGCACATTTTGAAGATAACTGAGTTTTGTGCTCCTACAGTGCAGTAGTCCTAATTCATGCCAACTTCCTGTGTCAGTCTGCAGCTGTGTGTGGTCTCTGTCCTGTTAAACAGAAGATACTTAGTAAATATATATCAAGCTTTTTTTTAATGCTTTGGGTTGCCTCCTTGATGTCCTATTGTCTAACTTGTGTTTTCTCCCTGTTACTGGATTTAGTATTGCTAAGAAATGTTTTTTGTTTATTTGTTTGTTTCAAGACAGGACTTCTCTGTGTAGCCCTGGCTGTCCTGGAACTCTCTCTATAGACCAGGGTAGCCTCAAACTCACAGAGAGCCACCTGACTTTGCATCCCAAATTCTAGGATTAAAGGCATGTGCCACCATGGCCCATTTTAAATCTATTATGTTTATAGAGTGAGTGAGTGAGTGTGTGTGTGTGTGTGTGTGTGTGTGTGTGTGTGTGTTGCTTGGCATTGAACCCAGGTCCTGCTAGGCATGTTCTCCTCTGTTGAGGTACTCAGTCCTGTATATGTTTTACCTGTGTGGTAACTGCAGGGTATTTTCTGATTAGTCAGTCACCTCTTATTTGTTTATATCTTTTATTTTAAAAGCAAAATACTGTCCCTTTCTGTTATTTAGATGAACAAACTTCTACTTTAGTTACACTTTCTTCTTTCCCCCAGATCTTCATTTCTCTAGATTGAAGTGGTTATAATCTTTGGCTTTCATTCTCCTGTTTTTGTGTGTGCATGCGTGTGCATGTTTAGCTGCAAGTGCCTTTAAGCACTGAATAATTTTGCTGCTCCCTCTCCCATCTGTTTCATAGCTCCACTCTCATTTTTCAGGACCTCTTTCTGTGCTGGTATGTCTTTTCTTCCTTTTTTTCCCCCTTTCCCTTCCATGTCTTTTGTTTTAGTACTGAAGATTGAACTTAGGGCTTTGCACATGCTAAGCAAATGTTTTAGCACTGAATACCATCCTAAGCTGTTTTTCTATTTTGAGACAAAGCCTTACTAAGTTCCATGGGCAGGTAGGTCTTAAACTTGCAATAAAAAAAAAAAAAAAAAAAAAAAAGCAATGCTGTGTTTTAAGGGAATGTTCTAAACTGATATCTAGTTGTCTTAGTTAGGGTTTCTATTTCTGCGATCAACACCATGACTAGAAGCAACTTAGGGAAGAAAGGGTTTATTTCACCTCATAACTTATAAATCTGTCATCAAGGGAAGCCAGGGCAGGAACTAAGGGCAAGAACTGATGCAGAGGCCATGGAGGAATGTTGCTTACTGGCTTGCTTCTTAAGGCTTGCTAAGCCTGCTTTCTTATGGCACCTAGGACCATCAGGCCAAGAGTGACGCCACCCATAGTAAGCTGGGCCCTCCTACATCAAGAAAATGAACCACAGGCTTGCCCACATGCCAATCTGGGGGGCGGGGGTGTCATTTTCTCAATTGAGGCTCCCTCTAAAATACTCTAGCTTGTGTCAAGTTAAAAACTAGTCAGTACATCAGACCTCTTTATTTATGAACAACTTAGTTTAAACTTATTCTAAATGTATCATGTGAGACCCTGTTTCAAAAAAAAAAAAGTTTTTGTTTTGTTTTTATTGTTAGGCTCATAACATTTGAGATTTCAGTCCATGACCAATTTGCTTTGTTCCTTTGGGCCTGAGACAAAGCAACATAACATGATGGAGTAAACTTGTGGTAGAGTGACTGATCTCATGGCCGCTGTGAAACAATGAGACAAGTCGCTGGGACCCAGCATCCTCTTTGAGAGCACGCTTCTGTGATCTGACTTCTTCTAGCTGCCATCATCTTTCAGGATAGCCATGGCTGGTAGCCAGGCCTTCAGCACACTGATCTTTGGGAGCTATTTAAGATCCAAAGTATAGTAGATAATTGTATGGGTTGAGAGCCATCATTTTAGGTAACTTACAAAAGTGTTAAACCTGGGTCTAAAACTGGCCATTGAATTAGCACCACTTTTGCTTTGTTTTTTGGTGGGATTTTGATATTTAAAGTTAAATTCTACCTACTATTTTGCCATAGTCATATGAAATTATATATTATTTTTACTTCTCAAGAAATTCTAATTGGTCAGTTAGACTTGGTGAGACCCCATTCAAAATTAAGATGTTTCTTATTCCTCACTAAAAATTTATAAAATTTCCTGGACAAACTAGTAGATCCTAGAGAAATTTGTGACTTGTGGCTTTACTTATACATTGCTAAATTGTTCTTCTAGCAGGTCATATAAATTTATAATAATTTATAAATAATAATTTATAAAGATAAAAAATATCATAACTGTAACATTTGGGGATATTATTTTTAATTTAAATAAAAATTTTTTTGGAGACAGGGTTTCTTTAGGTAGTCCTGGCCGTCCCACTTACTCTGTAGATCAGGCTGGCCTCAAACTCAAGATCTGCCTGCCTCTGCCTTTGGAATTCTGGATTAAAGGTGTGTGCCAGCATTCCCCGGCTAAAAAAAAAAAATTTAAGCAAGTTCTCCTATAGTTCTCAGACTGATCTCAGACATAACTGAGGTTGGCCTTGAACCCCTTATCCTCCAGCCTCTTCCACCTCCCAGAGTGCTGGGACTGTAGGTATGTGCCACCACACCTGTCTTTGTTTTGTTTCTTGAGTGAAGTCTCATATGTAGCTCAGCCTAGCCTTCTCTCCGTCCTTCTGCCTCAGTCTTCCTAAGAGGTGAGGTTGTAGGTGTGCACCTGCACTCCTTCTCGCCAACCTCTGAACCATTTCTGTGGGGTGTAATACCTCTTCATCAAGCCCCTGTCATTTTCTGTTGGGGGACCCTGTGCTCCAGGAAATCGTTTACTCTCTGTCAACCTCTGCTCCCCCTCTCCCACATGCTTTCCCCAGCGCTGCAGGAGACCAAGTGTCTTACCTTTCATTAGCTTTTTTTCTCCTTAGGCACTAGAAGGCAGGAAGAAAAGAAAGGAGGGAGCATCTGAAGCAAGCATCCCGAAGGCATTTCTTCATAGTTATGATGCCCTTCACATCAGTTCAGTGCACCTAGTCCAGAAGACAAACAGAAGCAGATTAAGGTTCAGTTTCAAACCATGTTTAATAATTGGTGTTTGACTTACCTGGATATCTTCCCGATGGGAGGGGTATAGTGCTCTCATTTCTGTGAGGACTGGTGGGCAGGGAGACGGGCCTTATTGAGCTTTGCAGTGGTTTGATGTGAGAAACTGCAAGTCTGTTGCTATCAAGGGCTGGTAAGAGACACACTTGCATCAGTCCATCTGTCTCCTTTGTGTTCTCATTGATCTTTTTTTTTCTCTCTTGTAAAATTTATAGAAGCAGGTTATTAGTGCAACAAATGTTTAAAAAACCTGCTAGTAATCTCATCACCTTAAACAATTATTTTTTTCTTTTCATCTATAGCACTAATAGATACTTAATGTATATATTGTTATCATAATGTGATAATACTTTTATATTAGTCTTTTAAGTTAATGAGTAATTTTCTTTGTTGGTGTGTAGATTATTGATCATGTTTTTGTTGACTGCATTATAGTCAAATATGTAACCGTTTTCTGTTTGTAGGTGTTTAGTCTAGGCCTTGAATCCTCTGTGTAAGAAAGGATGAACTTGAGCTTGTGATGCTCTTGCTTTCACCTCTGTAGCGCTAGGGTTATCAGTATTCTTCACATACCTGGTTCACACCTCCCTTACCTTTATTTGGTCCTGGAATCAGGCTGACAAGGTCCTCCTGGAGATGCTAGCACCTGGGTAGAGGGATCCATTTCCTCAGCCCTGAGAGGGCTTCTCTAAGTTACAGATATTGACATTGATCTGTAGTCTTGGGGATGTTGGTATAGATACGCTCACACAGCGTTTTTATCTTTCACTTCATTGTCTTTCTTGTTAAGAAGGCTGGAGAGATGGCTCACCGGTTAAGGGCACTTGTTCTTGCAGAGGATCACTATAGTGGCCCACAACCTTCCATAATGGGATCCCATGTCCCCTACCTACAGAAGCACTAGGCTCACACATGGTATATAGGTGAAGATGAGAGCAAAACATTCATATACATTAAAAAATGTTATAAAGAGGTTTTAATAGAAGAGCAGCAGCAGCTGGGTGTGGTGGTGCGCACCTTTAATTCCAGCCTTTGGGAGGCAGAGGTCTACATATTGAGCTCCAGGATCACCAGGGCTTTAGAGAAAGAGACCCTGAATCAATAATATTAAGAGCAATAGCAACAATAAGTATAGAGAGAGGAAGGGAGGGGGGAGCAGAGAGAAAATAAATACGAATATGAGAATATGTACATAAACATTGAGTAAAGATCCTCAGAGACTCTGGGCAGTGGTTGCAGGAGACTCTAGGCACCATTTGTTGCCGATATTTGTGTATGTGAAATATGTGAGTGCCACCCAGAGAGTGAACATATGCCAGTGAGGGCAGAGGTGATGGGGAGGCCAGGGGGCATGGCTTGATTGGATAAAAGGGCACCCTTTTTTCTTTTGGTCACAGGGTCATGGGACCAGCCAGAAATGTCCCAACTATTAAGAGTTAAAACCTTCCTGTCTTGTCCCTACATGTAAGCTTCTCTTTTAGCCTTCTTTACCTTTCAGCAGGCTAGAGACTTGTTAGGGTGAAACTCAGGTATGGGACTTCTTGTTGTAGGAAGTGGGCCAGCTGCATGTGCGCATTAGTGTGATAAGTATTCAGTACAGATGATGTAGGACAGTTCAGAAAAGCCCTGGTGGTCACTGATTTTGTTCTTTGTTTCTCTTGTAGCTCTTGCCAGCATCCAGCCATGGGGGATATGAAAACCCCAGATTTTGATGACCTTCTGGCTGCCTTTGACATCCCAGATCCCACGAGTCTTGATGCCAAGGAGGCCATCCAGACTCCTAGTGAGGAGAATGAGAGTCCCCTGAAGTCTTCAGGCATGTGTATGGATGAGAATGTGTCCTTGTCTCACTCAGGATCAGCCCCAGATGTGCCGGCCGTGAGTGTCATTGTCAAGAACACCAGCCGCCAAGAGTCATTTGAAGCAGAGAAAGACCACATTGCTCCTAGTCTCCTACACAATGGATTTCGGGGCTCAGACCTGCCTCCAGACTCCCACCACTGTGGGAAGTTTGATTCTGCTTTCATAAATGGAGACAGTACTAGGAGTTTCACGAGCAAGCTAGAGGCCTCCAAGTCGGAGCCATTACCTACCTTCAACCAGTTCAGCCCAATCTCTAGCCCAGAACCCGAGGATCCTGTCAAAGATAATGGGTTTGGGATAAAGGCCAAGCACTCTGAGAGTTATTTCCCACCTCCTCCCGGGGCTGTGGGGGGCCCAGTCCTGGAAGCTCTGTCTAAGTTCCCAGTCCCAGAGCTACACATGTTTGATCACATTTGTAAGAAAGAACCCAAACCAGAACCCTTGCCTTTGGAGAGCCAGCCGGAGCAGGAGCAGGAGCAGGTTGGGCAGAAGGTGGTGGAGCCTCACAAAGGTCTGGATACCAGTCGGTTCTTTGGGGAAGCTTTAGAATTCAATAGTCACTCTAGCAACAGTATTGGAGAAATCAAGAAGCTGGCTCCAGAGCTTAGTGCTTGCTCCTCTGTCCCCCCTAGGCAGCGTCTGAAGCCAGCCCATTCCAAACTCTCCTCTTGTGTTGCAGCCTTGGTGGCCCTACAGGCCAAAAGGGTGGCCAGTGTTGCCAAGGAGGATCAGCCTGGTCACACAAAGGATTCCTCAGGGCCCACTAAAGAGGGTTCTAAAGGCAGCCCCAAAATGCCCAAGTCACCAAAGAGTCCCCGGAGCCCTCTGGAGGTCACTAGAAAAAGTATCAAGCCATCAGACAGTCCTCGGAGCATCTGCAGTGACAGTAGCAGCAAAGGGTCCCCTTCTGTGGCTGCCAGCTCCCCACCAGCAATTCCCAAAGTTAGAATCAAAACAATTAAGACATCATCAGGGGAAATCAAACGGACTGTCACAAGGATCCTGCCAGACCCTGATGACCCAAGTAAGTCCCCTGTTGAGTCACCTGTAGGGAGCACCATTGCTGAGGCCCCAAGTGAGATGGCAGGGGATGAGGGCATAGCCATGCCTACGGAAGAGCACTTTCCTGAGGCAGGCATAAATTCAGGGAGCCCCCAGGGTGACAGGAAAGGGGATGAGAGCATGATAAAGGCCAGTGACTCTTCATCTCCCTGCCGCATCTCTGGGCCCCGGGTCTCAAAAGGAGCTGCCCTGAACTCGCAGGCAACAAAGAAGCAACAGAGCACAGCACTTCAGACATCAACCCCGGCCCCTGCCAGTCTCTTGCCCAAAGCTGTGCACTTGGCCAACTTGAACCTGGTCCCCCACAGTGTTGCTGCATCTGTGACTGCCAAGTCCTCAGCACAGAGACGGAGCCAGCCTCAGGTCACACAAATGACAGTGCCCCTGGTCCACCAGGTGAAAAAGGCCGCCCCTCTGATTGTGGAGGTCTTCAACAAGGTCCTTCACAGCTCCAACCCTGTGCCCCTCTATGCGCCAAATCTCAGTCCACCTGCAGACAGCAGAATCCATGTGCCGGCCAGTGGCTACTGCTGCCTGGAGTGTGGAGACGCGTTTGCCTTAGAGAAGAGCCTGAGCCAGCACTACAGCCGGCGGAGTGTCCACATCGAGGTGCTGTGCACACTGTGCTCCAAGACACTGCTCTTCTTCAACAAGTGCAGCCTGCTTCGGCATGCCCGTGACCACAAGAGCAAGGGGCTTGTCATGCAGTGTTCTCAGCTGCTTGTGAAGCCCATCTCCGCAGACCAGATGTTTGTGGCGGCTCCTGTGAATTCCTCGGCACCAGCAACCCCAGCAGCTTCTTCCTCCCCTAAACCCAGCCCTCCTTCCAGCTATGCCAGCCCTGTAATTCCAGCCTTGCCGCTTTACCCAGACCCGGTGAGGCTCATCCGGTATGGAACCAAGTGTCCTGAGTGTCACAAGCAGATGCGAGACTATATGGTCCTGGCTGCACATTTCCAGAGGATAACAGAGGAAACCGAGGGGCTAGTAAGTACACCACCCCATTGTTGGGTGTTGAGCCTCAGGCCCATACGGGCTCCATGATGGGCTGGAGAGAGCTGTTAGTGTGGGAGCAGTGGTAGAACAGGAGTCCTGGCAGAGGACTTCTGGCTTAATGGTTAGTGTCTCACCTGAATATATAGTTCTTGGTTTTTATTTGGAAAGAAAGCCTAACCATACCTGTGAGGAAAGCCTAAAGATCCAGAAAATTTACCCACAGGTGGTGGTATTTGCTTATAATTGCAGCACTTACAAGGCTAAGGCAGGAGGATCATGAGTTTGCAGCCAGTCTCGGTTATAACAAACAAAAACAAAACAGTGTCTTTATGGACATGCCCCATGTTCTACTTCCACTCAGAGTGGCAGTTAGTTTGGTCCCAATTTGGGCCTGTTACGGCTTGGCTGGGTGGTCTCTCTGGCCTCCAGCAGATAGCAGCACGGTTTTGGCATGTTTTCAGAGAGGCTGGGGAAAAGGGTAGGTGAATCACTGCCTTTGTCCCCTAGTCTTTTTTCTAAGATCATTCTGCCTTTTAGTAGACAGCTCTTGAGCAGAACCCCTCTGACAGGGCAGAGGCAAGGCTGAGGTAGGAAGGACATGGGTAGGCATGAGGGCTCTCTGCAGAGGCGTTGTAGGTCTCTGTCTGTTGCCCATGTTCTCCCAACTCTAAAAAAGGAGTTAAGCTTTTCTGCTTGTCCTGATCCCTGGTTACAGTTGATGAGCTTTGTGGTTTGTTTCTAAAGGCATTAGGTGCTGTCCACTCTACTGCCCTGTTGCTGTTAGGCTCTGTCAAGAAGGCAGCCACGAGCTGTGCTAGTACATTTTAATCCCAACACTTTGGAGCTGGAGGCAGGAGGGCTGCGTTGTAAGACTTCATCTCTAAAAACGAAAAGGTCTTCAGATTGGGCTATGTGTGTGTGTGTGCATACATGCAGATTACAAAGAACATAAGATTGCTTCTTATTTCTTTGAGACAGGGTCTTTTTGATTTGGAAGTTCACCATTTTGGTTAGGTTGGCTGGCCGTCAAGCTTCCAGGATCTGCCTATTTCTACTCCCCAACCCTGGGGTTACATTCATGCACAGCCATGGACAGTATTTTTACATGGGTGCTAGGGGGCCTGTCTAATTCAGGTCCTCATGCTTTCACAGCAAGTGCTTTTACCCACCAAGCCATCTCTTGAGCCTCTAGGGTTCCTTTCATGACACAGCTTAATTCACTCCCTGACTATGCTTCCATCAGCCAGGCTGTTGGTTTGCTTTCTATATTATAATAAAGACTGTTAGCAGGGGTTAGGGAGATGGCTCATTTGTTGCTCTTGTAGAGGACCCAGGTTTGCTATGGTGCCCACATGGTGGCTCACAAACACCCTTAACTTCAATTTTAGGGGATCTGACACCCCCTCTGACCTCTGGAGGCACCAGGAATGCACATGGTACACCTATATACATGCACACGTAGGCAGGACACTCACACAATAAAAATGAAATAAATAAATCTTTAAAAAAAGACCAGGCATGGTGACACAGGCCTTTATTCCCAGCACATGGGAGGCAGAGGCAGGCAGAGCTCTAAGTTTGAGGCCAATCTTGTTTACCTGGCCTAGACTCTTCCATGTCCATCATTAACTAAGAAAATGCCTTATAGACTTGCCTACGGACAATCTGATGGCCACATTTGCTAAATTGAGGTTCTTCATCCCTGATAAGTCTAACTTGTGTCAGATTGACAGAACAGACAGAACACAGGGCTGCAGAGATCTGGGAGAACAGATAGCTGTCAAGCCCAGGTCACCGTGCTGGCCCTGTACTGCTCAGGGGATGCTAGTAGGAGGGAGTCACAGCTTTTTTAGGAGCTCATGGTGATGGCAAAGGCAGCAGTCTGCATCCAAACCTCTACTATGTGTGACAGACCTATTGAGATTAAAACAAGGTTAGGACCCTAACTGACCTCAGAGGGACTAATTTATAGGAACTGCAGGCAAAAGGGGCAGTGTTGTGTGGTTGTGTTGGTTAAATTGGGCCTGGAAGGGTGGGGAGAGGGTACCTGAAGGTGTTCTGGCTCTGGGGAGCACAAAGTTATGCTTGAATAGTGAGGAGCAGACATTGTTAGTGTGGTGGGCCACCAGTGCTGGGTACAGGCAGGAAGTCGGGCCTCTGCATAGGACTTGATGTCTGAGGTGTCCGGGGCCTGCCGCAGGGTTGCTGTCTTAGTCAGTTTCTATTGCTGTGAAGAGGCATCATGACCACAGCAGCTCTTATAAAAGAAAGCATTTAATTGGGGCTGGCTTATAGTTTCCGAGAGTTAGTCCATTATCATCATGGCGGGAAGCATGGTAGAGGGTTTGGTGCTGGAAATGTAGCTGAGAGCTACATCTGGATCTGCAGGTAGCAGGAAGAGAGAGCCACCGGGACTGGCTTGAGCTTTTGAGAACCCCAAAGCCTGACCCCAGGGACACACTTTCTCTAATAAGGCCACCTCTACCCCAACAAGGCCACACCTCCTAATCCTTGTCAGTAACGCTGCTCCCTGATGGCCAAGCATTCAAATCTATGAGCCCATGAGGCAATTCTTATTCAAACCACCACCGTCACTTCCTCTTCTCTGTTCTATTTTGCTTGTGATGAGTCAGGTGGAGTGTGGTCAGCACCTCTCCTAGGGGCTTCCCTGCTCTTTCTTGTCCTAGCAAACAAGAGTTGAGTGGGGCTAGGACTCTTATTTCTGAGTTTGGCCATTGAAGATTTTTGGCCATGGAGATCTACTGCCTGGGTCTATGACATTTTCCCCATTGCTTTTTACCCAAATTGTAAAGGCTTGTGAGGTAGAAACTGGCATAGGATCAAGGCTGGCATCTCTCTCACACTACACCTTTCTTGTGTCACTCTGTCCTTGGAGCTACATAAAAGCACAACCCAGACATGATTGAAGAGGCTGCTCTGGAAGGCTGTTGGGCTCCTCTCAGCCTAGCGAGAATCCTTCATAGTATCCCCTTTTGCTAAATGTGGCTTCTAGGGAGGAAGATTTGAAATCAGGAATTAGCCTTCATGGCCACTGGGCTTGGGTTCCCATGACAGTACCAGTATCAGGCCAAAGAGTGTTCAGATGAGATGGGGTGCAGCTCCCCACCAAAGCAGGAACAGCATGCTTAGATTTATATGTTCCTTCTGGAAGACTGTACCAGAGGCAATGCTGCCTCCTTCTGTAATGACTAAGGCTGGGGTCTGGGTGGGAGCTTTCATCCTTTCCTCTGTATTCTAAGCCATTTAATTAGGACAGGACCTCTCTACATAGCTCTGGCTGTCCTGGAACACATGTACACCAGGCTAACCTTGAATTCAGAAATCCACCTGCCTCCCAAGTGCTAGGATTAAGGGCATGGGCTATAAGAGTATATCTTCTTGTTCTTAAGCTTTTATTTAACTATGCTGTCATCACACCTAGTAAAATTAATAACATTAATATTACCTAATTCAAATCTCATTTAGGCTTTTCTAATTACATTAAAAAGTCTTAACAATGGACCTTTTATTTTTATTATCTATTTTGAAACAATGTCCCATGTAGCTCTGGCTAGTCCCTGATTCACCTGTAGTCAAGGCTGGCCTTGAATTCCTCATCTTCCTGCCTCTACCTCCCAAGTGCTAGGAAGACCCACTATACCTAGCTTTTTAACAAACATCCGTGTTTCCTTAAGTAATCCAGGCTGGCCTCACACTTATGACCCTCCTGCCAAGTGCTAAGGTCACAGATGTGTGTCACCATATTTGGCTTATTTGTTTGCTAGCTTGCTTGTTTGATTTTGTTTGTTTGTGTTTATAGTGCAGGGCTTCTAGTGTAGCACCTTAAGCATGTAAGGCAAGCTCCCTACCTCTGAGTTATACCCCTGCTCTAAATCTGAGCTCAGTCACATAAAATCACACATTATATTAGTCTACTTCCTTGTTTTTCTTGTTATTGTTTTGGTTTTGTTGAAACAGGGTATCACTCAGTATGTAACCAAGGCAGTTCTGGAATCTGTAGCAATCCTTCCACCTCCGCCTCCCCGTCCTGGGATTCTAGGCCTTACCTACCTGGCTGTTGTCAACTGTGAAAGTGTGTTTCCCCACTCCACCCTACCTGTATCATTTGCTTTTTTTGGTGTTCTTTCCTAGACTTGCCAGGTATGCCAGATGCTGCTGCCAAACCAATGTAGTTTCTGCGCACACCAGCGGATTCATGCGCACAAGTCCCCCTACTGCTGCCCGGAGTGTGGCGTCCTCTGCCGCTCTGCTTACTTCCAGACTCACGTAAAGGAGAATTGTCTGCACTATGCCCGGAAAGTGGGCTACAGGTGGGTGCTGCCTGGCTCACTGTCCTGGTATTGCCCAATGGCAAGTCTTTTTTCTAGGCTGGAACTTGTTTTATACTGAGATTTGTTTTTAAGAACCCAATGTGTTTGGGGGGGGGTAGTCATTGCTGGTGAGATGGCTCATTGTTACCGATTGATGAGCCTAATGACCTGAGTTTGATACATTTTACTCACATGCTAGGAGAGAAACAATTCCTGTGGGTTGCCTTTTGACCAGTGCACCGGTGCTGTAGCATATTCATGTACAGACACACACACATACACACAACCAATCAACAAGCAAGCAAACAAATAAATGAGGTTAAATTTTTCTTCTTTCTTTCTTTCTTTCTTTCTTTCTTTCTTTCTTTCTTTCTTTCTTTCTTTCTTTCTTTCTTTCTT